CCCCACTGTCTCAGTGGGTGGGTGCACCCCCCGTGGTCCTGACATCCTTGCTCGTGTTCTCCCTCCATCTGCTCCTCATTGGGACCTTGGGAGCTCAGTCCAGTGCTCCAGTGTGGGTCTCTGTCTCTATCTCCATCCATCACCAGATGAAGGTTCTATGGTGATATGGAAGATATTCATCAGTATGGCTATAGGATAGGGTCATTTCAGGTTCCCTATGCTCAGCTTCCCAAGGGACTAACTGGGGACATCGCCTTGGGCTCCTGGGAGCCACTCTAGGTTCAAGTCTCTTGCCAACCCTAAGGTGGCTCCCTTAACTAAGATATGTGCTTCCCTGCTCCTTTAGGGGCATTCTTATCAAAAACTCATGCAGGAACCTATGTAAATTTTTAAAAAATGAAAAGAAATTCCCTGGAAAGTTTATCTTACACTAAAACTTCTTAGTTGAGAATCAAATAAAAGAGACTGTGAAGCAGAATGCTTGGAGCCATTTTGTTGTTTGATAACATAATTGTGATGTTAGATCTAAAAGTTAAATGTGGCAATGACGCAATTCTCCATATCCAAATGACAGAGAACACAAACACAGATAAAATCAAGGAAGAGGTACCCATCACTAATCTGTTATTAGAGGAATGGCTCTAGTGATCTACTTTAACCTGAGCACCAGCTGCTTTAGTCTCTTTTCAGGCTGGCTCCGAAGAAGGCCACAGCTGCTTCCATGAAAGACCAGAATTAGTTTATTTAACTAACCCTGCCTCCTTCTTGTCTCAGGGTTGTGGCATTACTCTAGAGAATTTGACTCTTTACTTTTTCTAAACTATAAATTATAGTTATATATGTATTGTTTGCATCTGTATGTGCACAGTAATTACAGAGGTCAGAAGAAGGGACAATAATCCAGAGACTACAGTTATGCCAAGTCTTACCTACCATGTGGGGTATGGAATGGAACTTCAGTCTTCTGTAACAGTACCCAGAACTCTTAATTGCTGAGTCATCTCTCATGACCCACTTCTTTCATTTAAAATTTATCTCTGTACATTATTAATTAAAAGACAGAACATTACTTTCCTC